TAGGACAATTAAACGTTTCAAAATACAAAGGACTATAAATTAAACGTTATTTATGTGTATTTTAAGATTATACGATTTCAAAATGAAAGTTGTCTGTGCAGCAACTTTGTACTAGGCGCTCATAAATCAATCGGGATGTACAGTCGCTGTGCAGCGAGCGGCGCAGTGCGCGCACCCTACAGCAAACACTCCGTACAACGTACGGCGTGTTTATTCTACCCTCCGTACGGCGTGTCTCACGATGTGCGTTTTGTTTGTACTCGAGGGAACTCGCTTTAACTTAGTTAATTTTGAGTCATGCGACTTTACATTTATGTTAGCTTACTTAGATTGAGACAAATTGTCTTTCATTTAAGTCATTGGATTTGAAAAAACATTTTAATGTGATGAAGTTCAATTACCTTTGGCATTGTTTGCGTAAAAATGAAAAACCTCATACAGATTGGGAAATAAGCAAAAAAAAATGTTTATTCATTGACCTAATTAGATAACAATAATATAGTTAACTATCACAAAATTAATTATCATTTCGTTTTATACAGGTACATAGTTTTAAATTGAATATTTCTCCCACGATAACTCGATATAATAGGTAGCTGGTTGAGTAAACAAATTGAGCATGCTCAGCATTCCATCACGCTGTGGCAGAGCATAAATTAGCTCGGTGAGCCAACATTTGGTCTGCGATACGACAGCGATACCCCGGAGATACCCCGGCGACACGCCAGCGATGGCGGCTGAACAAATGTTTGCTACGCAAATGCACGCGCATACCTCAATAGAGATTCACGTAAAACGAAGTAGCAGAGAGTGAACTAAAAATGCATTGAAATTGATTTATTTCATTGTTTACTTAGCGATGAGTAACGGCTTTTTGAATATTTCTTTGCGCAGAAATCCAGGTAAGTTTTAAATGTAAACAGTTTGCGTCAGACAGGAATAAGTACGTCATGCGTTTAACGAATATTCGTCATTCTGACTCAATATTACGTCATTAGTACAGATTATTAAGATTATAAACTGCATATGCTTGGTCATTTTTAATTATATTTATGCATACTCATACTAGAGTACATAATGTGGTACAATTTCAACACAGTTTCTTTTACAATTCAAGCACTTATAATTATAATTATAAATTTAATAAAGTCAAATATTATAGAATAAACCCGTGATCCAGATAGATATAATTTGTACGACACACTTTAACATAAAGGTAGAAGACGATTTGCGAAGTTGTTAATACCGTTTATCAATTAAAACTTTATCAGACGATAAGTTCGCAGTCGCTGAACAAATATTTGCTTGGAACGTAGCTCCTACACTGCGGCGAGATATCTTATCTTAATTACTTCAAAATATAGCAGCTCGTAACGCGAACATAACTCAATTGTGACGCTTTACTTTGCTTATAATCATTTAATTACTCGCTTATGTTTCGTACTTCATTAACAGGCCACTGGTTGCAAATTATTCCAAAACAACACGTATTCCTTTTTTCTTAAGGTCGCCATAATATTAAAATAGTCCGTTTAATTTCAAGGATCAGCTTTCTTATATAATGTTTGTCTCAATAAGGCGAAGTTTTCACTGAAGTTGCGTGACAAAAAGTAATGTAAGAAAGTGTGAGAGCGGGAGTATTGGTCGGTATGTCCGCAACAGCGGCAACATCTCGAACAACAAACTAATGTCGACAACTTTGTTCCATAGCGTGTCATAACAAACTTCACTATTGCTACATATTGCGGACTATGGTAGTAAAGAAACATCCGATATTGCTGAAGATTTCACCAAGTATTCTAACAACTTTTACTAAAACCAGTAAAACAATTACACAGCAACTTATATAAAATTAATGAATTAAAATCATACAATACGGTTTACATCGTGCATAAGTGACGTGTTTTTCTATTTACGACGATGTTCAAACATGGAAGCAATTTACAACGTTTTCCATTTACAAGATAACACCTCTTATCTCATTAAAAACTTAATCCTCGCGACCTTCCAAAGCCCACGGCTGCCGCAAGATGACTTCAGTACGATGGAATTACACAATTGGACAATTTGGCGGACTTCTCGTGGAATTATTAACAGCGAAAAATTCTGTTTTTGTCTTATAAAACGACTGAACTGAACTATAATTATATTTTAGGCAAATATTTTACCGTTTTTCCTTCGTTAAAAATTTTACAAAAATATAAAAGTGTTGCCAGGATTTATTGTATGTAATAGCAGAGGAGGCGATATATTTCACAGTAAAATGACAGGCACCGCGCGGTGTACTGTCTCTGGTCGTTACGCACACGTGCCGCGAGTGTACACTGCGGGACACAAATAACAGTACAATTTATAACTCGTTACCTTTAGCACGTTTCACAGATTTTTAACTTTTATCAAACGAAATACATACTTAATTACCACTTAAAATATTTGAGAAACATCACAGCAAATAAAATGGTGCCAAAAGTATCAAATAGATAAATTGTTCCTAATCATTTATGTTAAGTACATAAGGTGATTAAATGCCTAAATAGCGAAAATAAAATGCAAATAATTGTGGAGGAATATAAAGAATGAAAAACGAAAGAACATTTAAGTATTCTTTTGAGGTAACGAGGATAAAAAATATGGGAGAAATTATCGTGTATTTGAAGTAATGGAGCATGTTTCAAAGCGAGAATTTGGATATTTAGTTTTTTTTTTTAATTTTAACTTTGGTATAACCTACATTTAACTGGTAAATGTTAACACGAAGGTTTAGTTAAAACAACACAATTCGTTTACCAAAGTTTATTGCACCCGTTTAAGTAAATTCATATCAAAATTTAAAAACATATTAAGTAGACGAGGATGAAAGCTTCAAGTGAGATATGCAAATGAGTTTCCGTTAAGGGTTTACGTTAAAAAACCACTTAATATAATTCATGCACGAGAGGCAAGCCTGCCTCCGGTGTTATTTTATTATTATTACGATCATCCTGTACATGACCATGTTACCTCGTCACCAGGTCATTATACACACGAACAGACTTTTCTCCGTTCCCTAAAACCTCACATACCTTTGTATAATTTGCATAGAAAGAATCGTGAAAAAGCATTAGAGACAGTGGTGTAAATCCATTTTAATAATATTATAAAAACAGAGATAAAACGTATGTAATGATTAATTTAATGTTATTTTCTATATAAAATTAGTTCGTATTTCATTGCTTAAAAGTTTTGTACAACTTAAAATTGGTCGTGACGATTCAGTGTTTTAATTGACGATAGAAACATGTTTAAAGGCTGTGATCACATCCTTTTAAAGGTAAAATTTCTCATTAAATTCGACTATACATTTATACAAACAGTTGGATAATATTTTCAACAGTTTCTGTTATAATTTCCAAACCTACTGCTTATGATATTACTCGTTGCACACCTCATACACGTCTAAACAAATCGTTTAAAAATATTCACGGTATAAACAGTAGGATGTGAACGAACTGTAAAAAAATAATGCATCGGGCGAAAGCGGGCTGTCTGCTACAGCGGTGTGTCTAATGTATACAGGATGTTGCATTCTGATGAAACCTAAACTTACAAGCATAAACGTAGTCAATACAAACTAAGCCATCGCCACGATCAAAAGATAACTGTTTTAAATTAGTTGTATAAATAAACTTTATTGTCAACATCAAAATATGGAATTAATATTACATTTGCGGAAACCACTGAACAGTTTGCAAAAGTTCAAACAAATTTAAAACATTGAAACAAGACTCATTATTGAAAGTAAGATATATTTGTGTTACAAATAATTTCTCATTAACTTCCGAGTTAACTTCAATAACAATTGAACAATGCAAGTTTTAACTACGCTACAGATAGATATCAATTATTAACATGTTAACGTACAGGCTCTGATATTTCGATCCAGATATTATATACTATGTAGTACTATTTTTTCATTTGAAAAATATCTATGAAAGCATTTAATTTATATTTTTCTCCTAACGTGTGTTATGTGCAGCGTGCGGTAGATTTAACACCTAAGGAAGATTAATGTGACAGGAATGAGGCCAGTGAGCACGATAAGTGTTACCCCACGTGACAGGTGACAGGTTAAAGAATCGCTATGTAATGGTTATGAGTGGCTTCGCAGAGGATGATTTGATCGGAACCCGGTATCCCCCCTTCGACGATGCGATATATTTTATAAATCAATGAAGAAAATTTTAGTAAATTAATGTTGCTAAAATTCATAATAAAGCTGAAATTTTTGCAAGGGGGTGAATTAAAAAATGGTTCTATAAAAGTTCGTTGACCGCAATGAGAAGCGAGTGGTGATAACATCGGCGTCCGAGATAATATTCGCAAAGCGCAGCGGCCGCTGGAAACGCCTCAATAACTTGATTGCTACTGACTTTACACGACACTAAACCTTCCTAAATGGGAGCCTTTTTATGCAAATGTTATTTAAAGCAACTGCCAAGATAACTTACCGCATACGAACGTGTTTTTAATATTTTTGCAAATCAGCCGAGCGAAATGGTGAAATGCAGAAAGATTTTTATCAAATCCCCGGACGTGCCGTGCCGAGGTTGGAAGAAATTGAAAAATATTATAAGCTGTTGCGTTTCTAGCTCCATTCTTTATGTTTAGAGAAAAATGAATAGCGGAAACTCTTCAGTAGTTAATTACTGAATGCGGATCGGCGAACGGAACATAAAAGAAAGTTGGCCGATAACAACCGGCTTTTGTCGTGCGGGCCCTAGATCCAGCGCGGGCTAGACTCGCCCCTCGCCGCTCGCCGACAAGCGACAGGCGACACCGCAAGAGGCTGGAGGCTGGAGTCAGGACGCTCACAGCTCACAGCATTCCTCGCATTATTGCGATCCGAATTCCTTCCCACGGCGGACCGGACGAAAAACAGGTTTTAGTTGCATTGCATTCCGAAAGAATATCACTCGTGCTCGTGTCCGTTCTGCGTAACTAATTATTAAAATAATACAAACCTCGAAGCGATCACCTCACGGTCCCTGGGAGCCAATAAACCGCCCACAAATATTAATCACAAACACATATTTAAAACTTGCACGAGAAAAATATAAAATGTGAAATTTTAACACAGAAATATTTCGAAATCGGAACACGCAGCCGCCGGCATGCGGCTCACGCGAACGAAACGTCAACACTCCTCGAGCTCCGGCACGACACTGACTCGACTGAGCGAGGCGAGTGCCAGTGCGAGTGCGAGTGATGATGGTGAATACGAGCGGCTTCATTCTCGAATCCTACGCTACGGCCATTCAGGTACGCGAGCTGGCGCTCAAACGAGAAAACACACTAAATAAATCTTTATCGCTCACGCAATAACGGTAATAGTCGTCCGGCTATCGGCCAGTGATAAGGCTGCGTCGATATCAACGCCGCGTCTAGGATACTCGCGCGAGTGAGACGGCCGAAAGCGCGCGACGTGTGAGAAAGGGACGGGGATATTTCGCCGTTTAAGATGATTGAACCGTGAAATTCCTACATTGAGTTGGGAGATAAAAGTGCCGACTCCATCAATAGTGCATCCCGAGGAATGCAGCCGACGTTTTTGTCTCGCTAATTAGTGCTCGTTAAACAAAGATGGCATATAAATTGTTGAGGAGTAGCAAAAACTTCACGACTCTTGCGCTGTCCCGTGGGAATTAGAAGTTGATGATATTATTGTATAACAAACAAAGCGGATTGCGGCTTATCGCGGAACGAACGGCACGTTTCCCTGTTACGTTATTTGTAATAGTTCCGCATTGTTGTACATAGCGAAGGGAATTGATCAATAGCAACAGAAAACACCACCATGTTGATATGAAATCATACAATTTATATCATTCATAGAAATAACAAAAATGAAGCTTTTTGAACTAAAAGTATTATGTCATTTTTAACTTCACTGGTATTTCCATCAATTTGTTAATTGCCTTAACAGCTTTCAAAGGAATTAGGAGTGACAAACAAAACGACTTGTACATATCATGAGAATTGTAGATAACTGCGCAAACTCATAATTTAAGACAAGTTAAGTAATAACAGTCAAGAAGTATTTTAGTTTAATTGCGTTCATTCTTTCTAAAGTTTCGATTCATTGAACTTATTACATACATGAAATAACCGTTTATACGATGTATTGCATGGTATTGGGATCATGTCTCGACTTGTTTGTACAGACAGGTCGGTTCGCGCCGCCTACCTGTTTTTGTCTCCAGGGACTTGAGCCCAACAGTCATCAGACAAGTCCCGTGTAGACGCGTTAATAGTCCGCTCTTATCTTTAGAAAGGATACCTCAGTAGTTTTTGTGCGAGACAAGAGGTTTTTGTTTAGTTTGACAAACGTTAGCAGGTTCACACGGAATGTTTTTTCTATCTCCTGTTAGAAAGTAAAAAAAAAATGTTTCAAATATTCCCATGACATTGACTTGCTCGATGGTATAATGTTGACTTATGTTATGATAACGAATGGTCTTTTGCAGGAAGTATGCAATAAGTTGCCTTACTGTGATAAGGAAGCTCGTGTGAAATAAACATGTATACAATCATACTTTGGCACGAAAAATTTCGCCCTGAATGTCTTTAACTACGTCAAAATTTACTAAGAATCTTTCGGGAGCAGTTAAAATATCTACTTATCTTTACATAACAAGTTACCTTACCGATAAAAGTAAAAACTTTAATAACATCTTATCGAAACTTATCCGCATCCAATATCTCTGGCGAACTATTCATTTCTTATATCAAAAGGCAGCAGTAGTTTAGAGTTCTTCGAATGAAAAGAGAGTAAACAACCGCTTCCCAGCTCGGCCATGAAAGAGGAAGCGACCCCTCTCCGTGCAACCCCAACCCTCCCCCCGTTTTAATGAATTCCAGCTTCACTGTTTTTATTTCTTACGTCGAATGTTCAAAAGATGTTTTGACTTTATAAGTTCTTTAAGTAATAAATTGCGCGGCGAACGGCAACTGCTCGTTGCTTCCTGCTTCATGGTGTATAACGTCTCTATTGATTTTGCTTCCTTTTTTATTTACGTTAAATTTTAAATGAATAAAAATATTAAAATAACCCACTGAAAATAAATACCAAGGTAACTGTAGAAATTCGTGCTTAAGCTGAAGTATAAAATTATTTGAAATATAAACATAAAGAGTTGTCAAAAGAAATTCTCTAAAATACGTTGTTAATTATTTCTTTTATTGGCCGTTAAAATATAATTCTATTAACACATCTGGGAGCAAGTAAATATTTTCCTTTTATAAATTTTAAGACCGCCAACTTAAGTGGACCAAACGGCTTTAAACTTAAATTTATAGCAGAGTTGCTTTGACCCGCCTTAATACCGTCTAAAATGTCTTCTGCAAAACCAAATTTATTACTATTTATACTCAAAGCAATGCGCTGCTAGAGGTCCCAAGTTATTTATTGGACAATAACTTAATTCGGATTATATTTCGGAAGCTTTTACAACTAAATTAAACCAGCAATAAAACAAAATGACTATAACCTCGGACTTACGGCTAATTATTGAAACGACGACTTGTAGTATGTAACAGCGTGTTAAATGATAAAGTCGCATTTAAACTTCAGCGGCGCTTATGAAGAAATGTATCTAAGATTCGTTTCAGAATTCAGCAGCGAAACTAGTTTAATTAGGACTAAATAGATTGTCTTGCGTATTTTTTCCTACTGACGAGCAATCGCTCAATAGGAAGGTACTACCTACTAGAGTCCTATACTCCTATGACACTATAGCATACCTTAAGTGTTTCTCTCACTTAATATACAAATAAAGTTAACTATTTTAGCATTAAAGTCATCACTAAAATGCTTTACCGAAGACTAACCGCAGCTTAGTTCAAAAGCAATACAACTGTTTCCTCGTGGCGCTGCTCGCTGGCGCTGGCTGGAGCCGCATTCATAGAACACTCAACTTTAACAAGGGTCTTAAGTTTCAGTTTCACGAACACAACTTTAGACGCCCTTTGAAACATTATCGATACCAAATTCAATGATTCACTTTAGTTTGGAAATTGATCCGTCTTCTACAGCGAAATTAATTTGCTTTAAAGGAATTCTCTTTGGATTGAAAACGTTGCGTTTAAGCAACAACTGGCGTAACAATGAAAATTTTATTTAGTGCGTTTAAAAATTATTCACTAGTACGCAGAAAATTTTGCAAGTTGTTATTTAAATAAATTGTTTTATATTCTCAATTATTAGTCAACACTACTATTGTAAAGAGAAAAGATTATTAGAAAAGTATTTTTGTAGACTTAAAAACTACTACCGATTTTAATTCTTTCACCATTAGAAAGCTACACTTATCATCGAGTAACATAGACTATACTAATTTCTAGATGTTTTTTTAATTCCCCGCGGACAAAGTCGTGAGTAAAAGCTAATTGTAGATGTTAAAAGTTCGATTATTATTTTATGATAGTTATTAAATCGTGGTTTCTGTTGTGTAATATATTGCAAACTGGATTCCTCTGACGAACTATCTAAAAGTACTCTAAAAGTTGGTATGAAACACATAAAAAGACTATTTAAAGTGCCTCCTTTGTGGTTAAACATGCAAAAAGTTCTTTGGTTTTTTCCGTTTTTATTTACGCTATCCGTTTTATGAGAAAGTTTTCTTACGAGCAGTAGTTTATATAAAGATTAGCTAATGTCTTAAAACGTTCCGCCATAAATTTTCCGTCAGAGTTCAAGTCGTAGAGAATGTAGCAGAAAATCTTTCTCCAAATAAATAGGGTACTTGGAGCTGTAATGTAAAAGGTTTCATTTTATTATATAGAAGAGCAATGAAAAGGCAGCCAAAGTTAAATTTTATATTATAGACCTAAGTTATAAGTATCTACAAATCCCTTAATTTAAGAACATTGAAACAGCGTTTTTAATTATTACCTATTATACTTTCGAGAAGATATTTGAGTATAGAATTTTCACTTGAATTTAATATTTACGTTTACAAAACCCAAATATTAAAGGGTTCTCTTTTTTACACTAAAAAAGAATAAAGCGATGAACTCTGTATTATCATGAAAATGAAAAAAAAGTTTTGGAAAAAAGTGTGCACTGCCCGGGAATCGAACCCGGGTCGCAAGAATGGGAATCTTGCATGATACCACTACACCAGCAGTGCTTAAGGATATCGCTTAAATTTATACTTGCTTGTTACATAATTATCGAGAAAATTTGAATTAAGTTAGTTTTAAGTAAACATCGCGATTGTTGACTTTCAGAAGTTTACTAATTTTCTTGAGTTAACCACAAGTGTAAACTTTAAGTAATAAATGTTGACTTAGAACATATAGATGTAAAATGTAAATGTTAAATAGACTTGAGAAGAAAGAAGATATTAAAAACTAAACAAGTTACGCTTTAAAGAATACCTATCTAACTATGTAGTAAAATTAAATTTATATCTTCAACAAGAAGGGGCTCTCAGCTCTCAGCTTTCAGAGACAAATTTAATTGGATTAATTTTATCAAAGCATTTAATAATTATTTCTGACAACCTTAATTAATCTCTCTCTTGTCGAATTAAATACAATTTTAGGTAACACTCTTTCAAGTTTAAATTGATAAATCTAAAATATGTTTCAAATATTCGTTCAATTAGAATTATTCCTATAAATTTTAAAATCTATTATTTCCATTAAAACAAATTACGAACAATTTCTAATTAGAAAGAAAAAAAGAAAGCAGTTTATTAAAAAAAATAAAAAGGAATTCATTCGGCATGTGCTCGGTGTACACCGAAGCGCCGGTTTTCAATGATTCCTAAAAACAGAACACGCAAAAAATAGTAGAAGGAGAAAAAAAAAAACATGTAATAAATGTTACACTCGGTCACAACTAGAAAACTTAATCTAAATCTAAATCTATGGCAAAATATAAAAAAAACGAAACAACAATTACTAAACTATTATTCTTACTCTTCTGATTTTATAGCAAATAAACAAAATATTAGCGTTTTGCAGTTAACTCTTAACATGTAAGAAGAAATGTACCCATACTATTGTTTATTTTTCTGTTTCTTAATGCAATAGTTAAGTACAGTTAGATGTTTTAGGTGTAATGTAGCAGAGGCAATAAATAACAGTTATTAATGAGTTGTATCAAAGTTCCGTCAGAGGGCGTGATGTATCGGTCGGGAGCGCTTTGATCTGCCGCCGGTCAAATGTGTCACAAACGGCACACAGAATAAATGAAGTTATTTCTATGA